GCGACTTGTCATTCGACTTCCCGCATTGCCGGCGGCGCAGGGCTGAGCCTGGCTACGCGGGTGCACGCAAGTTCCCATTTCTCTGAGTTTCGGCATAAGGCGTGAGTGGTGTAAGACGTGGTGAAAGTCGGGCAAGTCTGAGTTTCCGTGTAAATCGTGGCCATTTCTTCACTTCGGTAGGATACGCGGTGTACTGCCGCACAACGTCCGCTACACAACGCCTGCAGCCTCTAATGCAACGATGCACAATTACCCTTGAGAAGACAACTCAGCCGGTAAAAGCCGGCTTCTATGGAAGAAGACACAGAGCATCAGACAGATCAGTTGCACTCACACAACATGGAGGAAGGTATGTCAGAGCCTCGACGATCCCCAAACCAGGAAGGCAACCGTATAAAGCCGCTCAGCCGGGTCGGTGAGCTCGACCGCGGACTGTCTTAGTCGGAAGAAGCTTTTCACTTTAATGCATTTGCTGCATTTTTTCTCGAGGCCCTGCCCTCTCCATTGGGGACTCGCGTGCCCACTGTTGCACCAAACACCAGAGCCGTCACCGCCACTGGGGTCGGTGGGGGGAGGGGCGTTCACCGCCACTGGTGTCGGTGAGAGGGGTCACTGCCACTGGAGTCGATGAGGAGGGGTCACCGCCACTGGAGTCGGTGAGGGGGGTTCACTGCCACTGGGATCGGTGAGGGGGGTCACCGCCACTGGGGTCGGTGAGGGGGTTCACCGCCACTGGGATCGGTGAGGGGGTCACCGCCACTGGGATCGGTGAGGGGGGTCACCGCCACTGGTGTCGGTGAGGGGGTCACCGCCACTGGCGTCGGTGAGGGGGGTCACTGCCGCTGGAGTCGATGAGGAGGGGTCACCGCCACTGGGGTCGGTGAGGGGGAGGGGCGTCACCGCCACTGGGGTCGAGGAGGCCTGAATTCCAGTAGCAGATTTGTTTTTGTTGCATCATCTGAGACGGACCAAAATAAAACTGGAAAGCAGTTCCACCTCAGGTGTGGTGACGTTCGTGCCAAGGACCAGTGTGCCGGGTGAAAGCCGGTGAACTGATATCTAATGGCCGGCGTTTCTCAATATTTGTAGCTGCGGCAATAGCGTTACATCGCGCATAGCCGAGTTCCTAACCGCACAAGCGTGCATTTATCGGCGTCCTGAAATCTCTGTATTGGGATGGTAGGCTGCTCGTGGATATCCTGATCTTCTCGCTTCACAAACGCCAAAGTTAGGAGCATTATCCTTGTCAGAACGGATAATAAGCACTGGAATGTTACCAACGAGAGGCAAATACATAGCTACATACACATGTATACACGCACAGCATTTACATATACTATGTCGCTGCTGCACAATAAGCAAGAGCGTGTAGATCAGGCCGCACAATTGTTTTCAATGTCAAACTTGTTCAAACCTCTGTTTTTGCACCAAGCACGATATATTGGTTGCCAAACCGATAGATTATGTATGTACAAACTGCTTTATGTACGTATAAGTATTATGTATGTATATATATATATATATATATATATATATATATATATAAATAGTATATATTCCAGCCACGGATGAAATTTGGTGTTAAATTCGTTTCCCAATATACAAATGCGATGGTCAAAGCAATTTAGCTACCGGTCTCCAAATATCTTACTCGAGTCGCGAATCTTAGCAGACCGATTCAGTCGTGGTGCCGGCGTGCCTGGGCGATTCCGGTCTGAAGTGCAACTGGAACACAGGCGGGATTTCTGCCGCACAGTGGCCGCGATAACTGGAATGGCACGTCCGACTGCGCACCGGTCAGCATCGGGTGGAATCAGGACTTCTTTGTTCGGCGTGAGCGCTTTGCCAAGTCAGACTTCCTAGCACGCAGGCCGAGACCTAGAAAGTGTCCCACGGCTTCCACACAGTCGTTTACATAACCGCCGATGGCCAGATGAGTCGAGGTGTTCTGGTAGTAATGAGAAAAAGTTGGCAATTATTTCCGGCCCGCTTGCCAGCTTCGGTACGACAGATATGTCGATATGTCGACACATATGATATGTCGACAGCGCCAACAGCGAGAAGCCATTGTTCAGAGGATTGCACGATTGTTCATGCCTTATATCCAGTGTAAGCCATGATTTCACATGGGTTCACTAGCACGCAGGTGCAATGTGCCATCGCTACGTCTTCTGGTGCTTGTCACTTTGGATTATCTTACGTCTCTAATTGTGTTGCGACAACATCTATGATGAGAATCCCGACCCCGTCACCAATGTGGTTACCTGGGGGCGTACCTATCAACACAAACGGAGAGAGAGGGACAAAGCGAGAGAGAGAGAGAGGGGGGAGGGAGAGGGATGGGGAGGGGAGGGGTAGAGAGGAAGGGGAAGGAGAGTGAGAGGGAGGAGAAATGGAGAGGGAGGAGAGGAGGGAGAGGAAGGAGGGAAGAGGAAGAGAGAGAACTCGCCATTTGTACTGATGAATATCAAATTCACATCAACTCACTACTACGGACAGGACACTGAAACACTATCCTTTTCAGCGACCTTCAAGAAAGGCTCTGCAGAACACTGAAGCTGCCCACATCCACAGCGCAGTATGTATAAGCGCATGTGCACGACTCAGACCGTGCCGTACATAGTCTGATGCACCCGGTGCGCTGACGCAAGCCGCAGCCGCAGCACGGCGCGCGGTCGGCGGTGCCGATCCGGGACCGGTGACGGGGCCATTGACCTGGTCGCACGGACCGGTGGCTCGCTGCACTCGCACGGCAAAAATCTGCCGGGCCTGCACAAAGCCAGAGGCGCGGCGCCCCTGGAAGTCGCATCACCGGGCCGAAACTCGGCGTTATCCCATTTGGGGAAAACAATTTTTCAGTGGTGCAGGTTTTCACTGTTGCGTTTGTTGCACCTAGAAACGCTCGGGTGCGGTGGAGGCGGTGCAACAAGGGAAGCCCGCTTGGCCCAGGACTGCGGAAAGGTTTAAAATAGCCATCGACACCTGAAAGTCATCCTAAAATGTAACACCTGTTCTTTCGTGCAAATGTGTTTTCATGGCGTAGGAACAGAAACGCCGCAAGCCAGGATAAATTTCAGGCACCGCTGCAGGTACAATTAGTGCTACATAGGTCCTAATAGGTAAGTTATCAAGTGCATTTGCGAGTGACATTCTGCATATGGTATTTGTATAACATTTATAGGTTTATTCATAGAAGAATTAGAATGGAAAGATAGATGCAATATTTCCTCCACATGCCTGTATTGAAATAAACATAAGTACTGAACTATCAATATCACTACCGATACTCGTCTCGATAAAGGCATGCAGCCGAAATGTCACATCTAGCTATCTATTCTCTTGGTTATTTAACAAGGAATAGGCTGTTAATGCTGTCTGAACTAGATCTTAATGGGATAGTGTTAAATGGCGTTAAATCAGTACACCAGTTTCGAAGATATAGATGAGCTTTAGTCACCGTGCTTCAAAGGTGGGACACCCACGCGCCCAGGCCCTCTTTGAGTGGGACACTCACAATAGAGTATGACTAGGTGACCTCTGACAGCCAAGGAAGCCTCCTCTTGTAGCATAAAAATGCCTTATTCCAATTTCGGATCTTCCGGAGTTAAAGGGTGAGGGTGGGTAGGTGGAGCCTGATGGCTTGGTGGCCCTTTTCTTTACTGCTGCTAGGTCCTGAGCAGCAAAGGCGCCCTCATTACTCAAGTACTCAAGAGGTCGTGACGCCATGCAGCCGCTTTTCTTCAGAGGCTGTATGGGCCCTCCCTCAGGAGGAGTTTCTGGAGATTGCGGAGATCCTATAGGGAGAAAACCTCTAGTCGTTTTGCGCAGTCCAAGACTCTCGTACTGTCCAAATGTCCGCATGGTTCATGGATGATAGACACATAGATCCACATGGATAATTTGTCACTAAGACAGGAAGAGAGAACCTCAGCGCGAACACATACCATGCTAAGCTACGAAAGAGACCTGCTCTTAACTTTAGATCAATTTCTGGGCACTCTTAACACCCATGCTATGGACAGAAGTATCATCGTAAATTGTACGTTGCAATATTGGAGCGATGTGGCGGTATGGTACCGCAGCGGTATGGCGTACCCGGTACGGTACAGCAGCGGTATGGCAGACTCGGTACGGTACCGCAGCGGTATGGTGTACCCGGTACGGTACAGCAGCGGTATGGCAGACTCGGTACGGTACCGCGGCGGTATGGCGTACCCGGTACGGTGCAGTAGCGGTATGGCAGGCCCGGTAGAGTACTGCAGCGGTATGGCAGACTTGGTACGGTACCGCAGCGGTATGGCGTACCCGGTACGGTACAGCAGCGGTATGGCAGACCCGGTACGGTACCGCAGCGGTATGGCGTACCCGGTACGGTACAGCAGCGGTATGGCAGACTCGGTACGGTACCGTAGCGGTATGGTGTACCCGGTACGGTACAGCAGCGGTATGGCAGGCCCGGTACAGTACTGCAATGGTATAACAGACTCGGTACGGTACTGCAGCAGTACGGCTGACCCAGTACAGTACTGCAACGGTATGACAGACTCGGTATGGTACTGCAGCAGTACGGCTGACCCGGTACAGTACCGCAACGGTATGACAGACTCGTTACGGTACCGTAGCAGTACGGCTGACCCGGTACAGTACTGCAACGGTATGACAGACTCGGTATGGTACTGCAGCAGTACGGCTGATCCGGTACAGCACTGCAGCAGTACGGCAGACTCGGCATGGTACCGCAGCGGTGCTGCAGACCAGGTGCAGCCCAGCCACAGCGGGCCGGCCCGTCGCCGGTACCGCAGCGGTGTGGCATGTCCGGTGCGGTATGACTGTACCCGGCCCCGCCGCAGCCTTGCGGTGGGCGGCCAGTCCGCGCTCCTGGCTGATCGAGCAGTGATCCGGGCGGGCCACGTGTCGAGTCACTCGCTCCGACCGGTTCTTGGTCTGGCTGAAAACAGCGCAGCTTTCGGGGGCGCTGCCATTGCACGCGGCGTGCAGAGGTGCCTCAGAGGTACCTCCTCTCCCGCCCCATGGCGTCGCTGCTGACAGTCTCTGTCCTCCTCGTGCTGGCGGCTCAGGTGAGAGCGCCCTCTGGCTGTTTGATCGAGACTGTGTGAAGGTCGCCCCGCGGTCATCCGCCCGGTAAGCGTGCGCGCGTGTGCGTCAGGGCCGTTGACCCGCTGAAGCTTGCAAAGCTGTCATTTGTCGGTGGCGGTCCGTGTGCGCCGATCCAGTTCAGTAACTCCGATCCAGTTCAGTAACTCCGCTTCAGTTCAGTAATTCCACAGTTCAACCTGCGGTCCGGCCTGAGTACATATTGAGATGGTCTGTGGGTGATTGTTGGTCATGATTTTGAGTGGTAAACTGCACCTTTTCGTGTACTAAAAACGCATCTAATATGGGGATGCAACACGACTAGTGTTCGTGCTGTTATGATACAAAAACATCGCTGCCAAACCGGCATTTTTAGGAAGCAAATTTATCCCTGCAATCATACGCCACGGTGCTCTCGCATGCACGGATGCTTGATGGGGATTACAGTGAGTCAAGTTCGGCGCATGCTGGGTGCTCCTTGTGAGTAACTCCCCACGCTCACAGCATGATCAGCTGCTTGCATGGTCAGCAATGAATACATCACTGCTTTTATTAATCTTGGAAACAGGCACACAAACACTGACTCGATTTTCGCGCGCAGAACGGGTTCAGGTTCACGGCTGTGCAAACGTTATCTGAGCAGCGCCGGCGGGAGCGCTCTGCGCACCTGTCCGCGCAGGCAGTGACACGCACGACTGCGTTGCGACGCGCTGGTCCAGTGGTGTGTGTGGGTGAGTGGTGTTTAAATGCTAGGGAGTGCCGGGACACGCGGCGCCATGGTGAAGATTTGCCCTCCTTGACCGAGGAAGACGGCCACCGTGGTCGAAACCAAGACGCCTGGTGCATTCATGTCCCGCAAGCCTTGTCTCAAGCAGCGGACCCGCAGCGGGCACCCACGGCTTCAGTCGTGCAGCGGGCGTCGGTGGAAGATGGGCTAACAGCAGCGCTCACCATTTGGTCCTGTTAAGCAGAGGTCACGGGGAGATGAAACTAGCAAAAATCTTGATGGATAGTGAATCGTACGACGTTCGATTTAACACTTAAGTCTTGGACAGCGACATTCCCGCTCAAAACAGCCTTATACCTTGTGAGCGTGAGCTCAAAAAGTTGCGGCATCCTGTACGAATGTGCCTCAAAAAGCAAAAGTCACAGCAACTAACTGTTCATTCAGAATTTTTGGTCCAGTACAGATCTGCAAGGTACAAATGTAGCATATTAGCATAATCTGGTGGTGAGTCCCTGGCCTTGTTTCAAGCAAAAAAGATCCATGAAGTATCCAAAAACACCAGTTTGCTTTGGGATCGTCATTCCGCATCGGTTTCAAACATGTATGCACACATACACACACACACGCTCAAACACACACACACACACACACACACACACACACACACACACACACACACACACACACACACACACACACACACACACACACACACACACACACACACACACACACACACACACACACCACACACACACACACACACACACACACACACACACACACACACACACACCACACACACACACACACACACACCACACACACACACACACACACACACACACACCACACACACACACACACACACACACACACACACACACACACACACAATTATATATATAATGTCAGTGTGAAGGGGTAACACTCTCAAAGCGAGTCAAGAGCCCAGGCCGCTTGTCCCCTGAAATGGCATACTACACTAGTAACTCGCATCAATACAATCACCGGCGTCGCACATGTGAGGATCATACTGTAAAAATTGCAAAGCATGCAACTGAACACATCGCCAGCTACGCCAACAAAACACCGCAGCCATTGGTGAATTTGCCATGGTTTCCGGGAGACTGCGTGGGAGGATCGCATCCCTCCATGCGGGAAACGTGACACGTTCGTGTGTCACGTGTTTATGAAACCGCTGCGACCGCGTTTCCTTCAAACGCAAAGCCTGCTTGTCAGCGGTCCACTGGTTACCATGACGACGGTGCCTCACCGCTCTCGCCTGCCTGCTTCAGGCCGGCTGCCAGAGTTTGGAAGCTCCCATACCAGGGGTTTCCGGTCAGGAGGCCCCATCCGAGCCGCAGGAGAAGGCGTCCATCACTAAGCGCGTGCAGGCTTCCTGGCTGCGTCCCGGTCCGGGGGAATCGGGTGTGGATGGAAGCGAGCCGGCGCTGACACCACAGGAGGAGGAGGAGGAAGAGGTGCCCTTCACGGAGAGGGTGCCGGCAACCTGGCTGCGTCCCTTGCCTCCTGTGTCGGAGGAGGAGGAAGAGGAGGAGGAAGAGGTAGCCTTCACAGAGAGGGTGCCAGCTTCATGGCTGCGCCCCACTCCCTTTTTCCCCGAGGAGGAGGAGCCCTTTGGTCTACAGGGACGCGAGCCTCCTCCTCAGGAGTCCCCAGCTCTGGCGGGCCGCATCCCACCACTGGAGCAGCTCGGGCCCAACGAGTGGGTCACGCCGTTCCGGCTGTCTAAGATGTCGGTGCAACCTATCCAGCTGGACTCCTGGCGTAAGTGCAAGTGCTGCCCAACTTCTCTCTGTCACAGCAGTACTAGCAAGGTTTTTTGTGCACGCATACTAGGGTATCCTTGTCGTCGGTCTGAACAGCCCCGAATATTCCCGAGCGATGCCTTCGTGTCTGCCATCCATAGTGTAGCATCCAAACAGAATAATCATAAAGGTTCACATGCTTTCGGCTTGCAACATTGCCACTGTCTGCGCACCAGGCTTTGCTATATCACAGCATGTTTTCTCAACTGCGGTTTGCAAATGCAGATTATTTTATTCAAAAGTCTGCATGCCATCGCGTCTAGATGAAGAGACTATTTCGCAGTAACCTCTGACCTCTTCCGGTTTTACCCACAGTGCCCGATTACGGCAGGTTCCGACTGCGGAACGGGGTAACGGCCGAGTTCACATCACCGAATTTCCCAAAAGACTATCCTGGCTACATCTGGAACACGTGGGAGTTTATAGTAAGTAGTTCTTTCCTCATCATACCCTTTGAAGCTGTCCGAGCGGTTCATTCTTACGTGAGGTTACAACTTGACGCCAGGATGCTCGGCGTCTTCCCCAACGAAGATAGATGTCCAATAGCAGGTGCGGTCGAAAGAGCTCTAATCCAAACGGCTAATAACCAACCCAACAGAAGATAAGCGCAGCAATACCAATTGTTGGGTTATTTGTGAACGCATGTGACTGCTCCTGTCATAAGCGCCGCCGTTTCCGGTGAAAACCAGCGCAGTGGACGCTTACTGCGGGGTGATTGGATCGCCCAGTCTCCATGCACTTTTCACCACGAGTACCGGATGTGTTTTGACCTAGCATTATATCATATGAATAGGGACATAGCAGGCTGGAAATGGCTATGGGAATCAGCACTAGTACCTTGTCACCTTGCACTGTACGGATAAGACAGGTCATCACGACAGGATGTCGTGAATTGAAATCAGACATGGCTTGTTTTAAGCGATCGCCTCAGATATATGGTCTCCACCTCAGAGGCATGCCTATATATCATATGATGTAGTATATAGCAATATAGGGCAAAAGCCCCCTCCAAAACCTAGCAGCATTGATCATTACGTCTTGCTGTATTTTAGGCGGTGCATACATATGAATACATTTGCCATTTCACGTGGCAAATGTCGTGAGCGATTGCTGTTGATCAGCTATTGTTTGTCGTTAGTTTGAACCCCGGGGCATGTAAAAGTACGCGGCTTATCAAAGCTTTCTACTGCATTTTACAGAACGAGCTTAAAATCATGATTCCTTGAGATGATATTCAACACTGGTAGCTGCCTGCTAGTAAAGCATTGCCACTGTTGTGCTTTAATTCAGACATGTGTGGACATTTCTCCAGCCAGACGCACAGAACAGACGCTGTACGGATCGATGCGAAGTTTTCACCCGCGTGGGGTTCATCCCTTGTCCTATTGTCATCCAGGACCTATCGTTCCGACCCGATGCCTCTGACAGCCAGCCACAGCGCGTGCCAGAAGGGATCATGCTTTGGCAATTGACAGGGAGGCACTTTTTGTGTGTATTGGTGGGGAGGCAAGGCGTGCAAAACGAAGTGTTGAAAAGATACCGCAGTGGCATGGGCAATGATGAATTGGCAACTTGCATTTCCAGATTGCCGCGGTGTTCATTTCTTCTTCTTTTTTGTTTATGATCCGATCGCGTGGAAAATGTCACACAAGCAGAGGGTGTCAGTAAGCTCTGATTGACGGACAGGTTATAAGCTGAGTCCTGGTTTAAGCCCGAGGTTGTGCAAGCTTATTCTGAGCCAGAGACGGACTCCGCCTTTTTAACTTATGTCGATTGCTTACACATGAGTTAGGCAAAGTGTGTAAGGATTTGAGCGTGTATCCCGGTGACCATGAGCCGAGATCACTCCGAGGCATGGCCACCACAACCCTGAACCCCAGCAGTGCATCAGCTCTGCGGCTGAGCACCTGGCGACACAGGTCCTGGTATCTCGGCGCCAGGCATGGTCAGGTGTAGGCAGCGGGGACGAGGGCTGGGGGAGGGGTGGCTGGAGAGTGGGTATGGGGTCGGAACAGGAACAAAGGATGTGTCCCACTCTCTGATCGCCCAGGTTTGTAATGGCGTAAAATCAGGGTTTTTTCCTTGCAAAGACCGCCCTGACAGGGCAGGGTCCATCTCTCACCGAATCAATCTCGCACCGTCCCTGGCCATTTATTGGGTATCATTTATATGGTTGCAAGAACTTGGAGGATCCGTTGGGAGATTTTCGAGCTTGGTGCAGATTTAATGCATCGGAATGGTTCATAAATAGTTTTCCATGGCCAAAGTTTTGAAATTTGGCATTTTGAAATGGTCGGACGCGCTTTGGCGGTTAGCACCATGGCAAGACAATATGTCCTGCGCTCTCAGACCTTGGTGCTGGCTGCTGGGTCTCAGTGATTTGAGTAATATTGAAAAAGGCTGCCAGACTCAGAAAATGACTAAAATATCCTATGCGTAGTATGCTTAAGAATAATGGCAAGTCCTGGGTGGGCCCTCGGGCTATTTATGCACATAACATATGCTTTTGCATATGTGTTGGTCCACACATCGACAAGTAGCCATGCTCCCGGAGGTCCAGTTTTATCCACCATGCCCAGTGAAACCTCCAAATGACAGGCCATCTTCTTTTTACAAAATAACGCAGTGGTTCCCGACGCTGCAAAGACAGGATATTTTTCCTGACCGAGGTCTCTCTTATCTAACTCAATCCATATCTGGGCGTTACAATTTTGGATCAACCGTTTTTGGCTCATTTTGGAGGTCAACCCATAGCCTAAAACATTTCGGAGGTCAACCCATGGCCTAAAATATTTCGGAGGTCAACCCATGGCCTAAAACATTTCGGAGGCCGACCGATGGCCAAAGGCAGAGCTCCGGTCCTCGCCTCCCGAGCGCTCCCAACCGGCCGCCGGTGGCGCCGCCTACCGGTCGACGGCCGCACTCGACTGGCGACGGTGGCACCCTCACCACTCCTCCTCGCCGCAGACGGAGACCGCCGGCGCTGACCTCCGGGTGACATGCGACGTATTCGAGCTGGGCAAGGGCGACTTCTTGCTCGCCCGGCCGCAGGGCGAAGGCCGCCGGACCTTCCGCGCCGACGCGCGGGACGTCGAGGTCACGGCCTCGGGCCAAATGCAGGTGGAGTTCCGCTCGAACCGACTCGGCGGGGGCCGCTTGCGCTGCAAGGCGCACGCCTCTGGCGGCGAGAAGCCGGCCGTCGAGGCCAGCGCCGTGGTCGACACCGACCCCTTCATCGACCTCTCGAAGCCGATTGACCTGAACGCCCCGATCTGCGGCCGAACAAAGGCCGCGAAGCGCATTGTCGGTGGCTCGGAGGCGCCGCCACATGCCTTCCCCTGGCTGGTAAGTGGGCGGGACGAGTGAGGCGCCGCCACATGACTTCCCCTGGCTGGTAAGTGGGCGGTGACTGGGCAGTCACTGGTGAGTGGGCGGGACACCGAGTGGTTGTTCGCCCCAGTTATCATGTAGATTGGGTCACGGTAGACTTGTGCGGCCGATCTTACCAGGTGAATTGCGCGCATGAATAGGTGCGCTTATTATGTGCCAGCAAATCACATCGTCAGTCGACGGCTGTTCAAGTGATGCGTCTTTTGTGTCGTCTTGTTTCTGTTTTTGTTTCTGAATTTGCTGCTCGCAAAACCCTCTGCTGCACCGTTTCAGGTAGCGCTGCAGACCGGTCGTTCGAAAGTTCAGTTTTGCGGCGGAAGCATCATCAACGAGCGCTACATCTTGACGGCCGCTCACTGCGTGGACGGGTAATTAATCCTGATCAGACAAGCGTTCATAATGAAAAGTCAGCCACCTGGGTGGGAAGGGAAAGTCAGGTGTGGACCTTATTCAACAGCTGCTCCCAATACATTGCTAGAGCCTGCTCAGAGTACATTCATGTTAAGGGCCACAAACGCCAGCAGACGTCTCCTGACACTCACAGTGACGGTGGCAGTAGTTACCCAAGCTCACATCTCTTGCTTCAGTTTTGTATTACGCGTTGCTGTAAGCTCGGTGATGTGCATTATGGTGTAAGGTTGCAAGAGCCGTGGCTTACATGTTGTCTCCAGCCACCACGTTTTGCCTGCAATGAGCAGTGAATAAGTAAACAGCAATGACGTCTGCAATGAACATGTTTGAAAACTGCGCAGCAGCCTGGTACGCAGCGCCGGGCTATTCGCCGTACACCCGATCGCATTCTCCCAGTCGCCGCCCGCTTATGCGAACAGGGCTACAATATTGTTGCGTGTTTTTTGCACCTACATGTACATCCTCAAAACGTCTATTCCAGGCGTACACCCACTCGTTTGGCCATCGCCGTTGCCAAGCATAAGCGGGTAAATGATGAGTCTGAAAGAATCTTCCGGGTGGAAGATCATCAACACGAGAAGTAAACAACCGGCAACGCAAGAGAAACGAGTCGTAGCGATAGCAAGTAAGTACAAGACGGAAATCTGCAAAAGATGATGGAGAGGGGAGCTATAGCTCTCTCTTCTCTATATAGCAGATTGAGAGAGCTCTATATCTATCTCATATCGCGAGATGCGATGAGAGACGGAGGAGGCGAGAAGAGAGAAGAGAGGAGGATCAGGCGAAGAGAGGGGGGAAGAGAAGAGAGATGAGAGACTGAGAAGAGGAGATGAGTAGGAGAGAAGAAGAGGCGAGGAGAATAGAGAGAAAAGCGAGCGGAGAGAGAGGAAGAGTAGAGAGAGAGAGAAAGAGAGAGAGAGGAGAGATCATAGGCGTAGAGGCGGAGAAGAGAGAGAGAGAGATAAGTATCTCTCTCTCTCTCTTCTCTTTCTCTCTCTCTCTCTCTCTCTCTCTCTCTCTCTCTCTCTCTCTCTCTCTCTCTCTCCTCTCTTCTCTCTCTCTCTCTCTCTCTCTCTCTCTCTCTCTCTCTCTCTCTCTCTCTCTCTCTCTCTATCTCTCTCTCTCTCTCTCTCTCTCCTCTCTCTCTCTCTCTCTCTCTCTCTCTCTCTCTCTCTCTCTCTCTCTCTCTCTCTCTCTCTCTCTCTCTCTCTCTCTCTCTCTCTCTTCTCTCTCTCTCTATCTCTCTCTCTCTCTCTCTCTCTCTCTCTCTCTCTCTCTCTCTCTCTCTCTCTCTCTCTCTCTCTCTCTCTCTCTCTCTCTCTCTCTCTCTCTACTCTCTCTGCCATGACACACCCGCTGCTGATTGCCGCAGACTGCGAAGCTCACTACGCTCACTGATGGCGCTTGAGAACGGCTGGGTTCGGCCATCTGCCTGCCGGAGGTGCGCTGCCAGTCCCGTGTGCCCTCCACCTGCTACACCAAGCGCCTCGCCGTGCTCGCCGGCTGGGGCCTGCTCAAGTCAGAGTCGCTGGTGGGCGCCAGCGCTGTCCAGTTCGTGCGCGTGCCCATCATGGAGAACGCCCGACTGCCAGAGCGATTATGCGGCCGACCGGATCGGTATCACGCGCCGAATGGTGTGCGCTGCCTACCCGGAGGGCGGCAAGGACTCGTGTCAGGTGAGGCCACATCTGCCGACGGGCGCCTGTGACGTCACGCGAAAGCGCGTCATGTGAAGGGTGGTCACTGTCGGGTTAAGACGAGGTGGAAGCTCGCACCTGTCAGGGGAAGCTAAGCGACGACGGGCAGGCGTGCTTCGATTCTTTCCCTGCTCGGAACGATGACGTCATGAACAGACCCCCAGCGGTGATCAGCATGCAGGTCTGTTCACAAGGCACGTGGGCACAGAACGGACAAAGACCGCATGCATGACCCAACTGCGCACACAGGTGTCTCTGCGCATCACATCGCTCCTTTCGGAGCCTACCTCGGCGCCCCGCTCGGCTGCCTGCATGCTGCTGACCCCCTCCCCCCCCCCCCCCCCGCTGTCGACAGGGCGACAGCGGCGGCCCGATGGCCGTGGTCGGCGACAATGACATCTACACTCAGGTCGGCGTGGTCAGCTTCGGCAAGGGCTGCGCTCTGCCCGGCTACCCGGGCGTGTACGCGCGCGTCTCGGGTGAGTACTTACCTGGTACTAGTACTGCCCTGGTATAACAGCGCCTCTCGCCTCCCCGTCTGTGTACTCTGGTCCTCGGGTCAGCTGCCGGCGTGCGAGGAGTTTGCTGCCAGCCGATCTTCCTGCTTGTGCCTCTGGAGTCGCATGCACCCTTCTATTCGCGGATTTTTACCGTGTTCTTTTGCATGCATCGGCATTGAATTTTGCTCGCTGAGGATTCCATGTATTTGGGCAATTACCGCATCGCCAACCAAAAAGGAATCTTGTCACATATCAACTTCTGTGTAAGCATCTCCTAAACCGCTTGGCCCCTGGCACCCGACTGACATCAGTGTGTGATTTCCAGAGTTCGGAGACTGGATTCGACGCAACAGCAAGCTTTAAGAGAGCTCAGGCTACCAGAGGCTGTTGCTCGACAACGCCCGACTAGCTGTTGTTACACACGACAGTGTTCGCTGTTAGTTATATGCTGGAATTCCCTGGGTGCAAAATATGTTGGTATTATCTTGGATTCTGTGGCATTTTCAGCTTTTGCGATGAAAGACAACGTCGTTTTTCACTCGTTTAACATCATCGCCTTGGTTTGATGCTGCTCTTTCACTATTTAGATCGCTTATTCTCTCTCTTTCTCGTTTCGTTGTTCACCACGACTGTTGCAGTCAGCTAATCAACCTCGGCTCGCATGTAACCACGTTTATAAGACGCGCCGTCAAATGCCCCATTTCTGGCGCATGGATCATAATGCCTCCTTCGCGAAATGTTGACTGCTGTGGACTCATGTTGACTTCTTCTGATTGTTGACTTGTGTAAATATATTTTTCCTATGGGATAAAGTCTATTCAGAACAGCCAACAGAAAAGGCGACGTAATGATAGCCTCACACACAATGTTGGCCTGTCTCATGCGGTGTTACACTGTAATCAGTTTAAGAATTGCGGCCCATACGAACCAGCGTACCTCACATACCATCCGCCAGTCCATGACGATGTGATGTTAGCCAACGATCTGAGATCGATATCACAGCACGACTTCTGTCTCTGGCCACGGAACAGTTACCCGTCCGAGAACCCCATAAGCGGATAAAACGCTCCCTCCTGGATAAACGGTCAACAGCATTCCTAACTTCGAGTACATGCGGGAGCAGAGACCAGCACCAGTTCCGCGCACTCCCGGCTCCGCGTCAGTGACATCGCACCGCGATCTCGTGCAGCATCGAACCGCCTGAAGGCAGGTGGTGGGCGGTGACGGGACCCTGTGCGTCACATGGCGACTTAAATGGTTGGCGCCATGCTAACGCCGATTTCAAGCCTATCTTTTCAGTCACTTTATTTGCAGACGCTATCTTTACATTCGCTGCATCTGGCCAACGCCGTCATCAGGCTTCTTGAAGAGAAATCTAGATTAGATTGTGGTTGCCGTCCGCCGCAGAGTCTGTGTTGAAGACGATGTGCTGGTCCGTCGTGTGCTCTTCTTCAGGAGCTGCAAAATACCAATCAACCGCAATACAACAACAGCTTAAGGCAATGGAGGCTTATGCCAACAAAGGTTTTGAATTGTTCCTGAAACGAGCGGAACGCATTCAAGTTCGGGAAATCCCAAAGGACTAAAGTGTTGCCGGCTTTGCAACTTGTCGTCGGTCGACCGACTGCTCTTTGGTGCTCAGTCAGATGACTTAGCCTCTCTCATGATGATACCCTTAGCGCGTGTTGGCCTCCGATAAAGCACTCATACAAAAGCATGAGAATGCATGGAAACCAACGGTGCATCTTATGTACCACTTCCAAGGGAAACGAGCCCTAGTCACATGTGACGTAAATGATGCGATTGTTAGCCGATGAGAAGCGAGTACGACATCGTGTGATGGTCTTCTAAGTCAATCACAGGGCGTGGGATCGACTTGTTATCTCAGAACTATCTTTACACGAGCTCGGGTGGCCGGTTAAGTGCCTTCCGCTCCGGTAGGGAGGGTCAATTTGACCCCACCTAAAATTCCAGAAACTATCAGAACTAGAATTACGAAATTCACAGAGTATTTTATCATGTGAATAAACTCGCTGTTGTCAAAATTTCAACTTCCCAGATTATGACTATCGGGTCAAACAACGTCAAAGTCCCGATTTGTGCCCAAAGTGCCCCAGATTTTCTCATGCAACCGCCGTGAACCGAGATGCCTGTTCTAGGCACAAGGTCATTGGCGCTCGTTCAAGATAAATAGCCTTGACTGACCTTTCGTTATGGTCTGGCATTTCGTTTCGAATGTCATGGGGCACAAAACCATACCAGGGTGCTTTCATTTTTGCATGGCATTATGGTTCTAAAAACAAAATGCTGGCCTGTGTCACTTTGGGACAATTACCTGTTCTGATCTCTAAAAAGTCCATGGACACTGTATGATGTGGTTTCTGTTATCAATTAGTTCAAAATGAGCACCAGAAACTACCCCATACGGCAGGTTCGAGAGTAAAAACACAGGCTGATTTTGACCTTAGGCTGACCTTTATACCTAACCCCAGGTCAATGGCATTCGCTAATTCAGTTGTTGTGTTGCCTAGGGAACTATCTGAGAGGCGTATGATTTCGTCTAATACTCCGTTATTGAATCAAAATAAACGATTCCCTTGAAAACACCTTCGCTCAATCCGTTGCCTGACTGACCTTCCGTAGGTCAGACGCCGTTCTAAAATGATTCCGGAAAAAACCCTCGGGGATCCCATTGACCCCCTACCCGAGAGCGTGTTGAACAACAAATGGCTGGTAATGCGCGGAGGGCGTCTTTTTAAAGCAAGTATTGAATCAATCGCATTCCGCATGTTATGAATAGTTTGTGTTCTCACAGAACAGATGGCATGTGGCGACGTGAACGCTTACCAAGAACGGTTAGATGTCTTCTATCGCATTTTTCGTCCTAAAGAGTTTTGAGAATTTTAGGGACCTTATATCTTAGGACGCTGGAAGTTTTTAGGATTCTGGAGATCTTTACTGCCATGAGATACCACTTTTGTTCTTATCGGCAACAGCTAATCCACATCATACCATGGCTTCAGCTCTCGCTCAGGCCCGCTGACATACCGACTGCCCCCCCCCCCCCTCCCCCTTTTTCCCCCGTAGCTCAGCGCCTTGGTACACGGAACGTGCAGCGGGCCGGCGTATCATCGCCCTTTCTGTACCGCAGTGGACACAGCTATAAGCAGCAATATGGTGAAGTGTAAATATGTAGGGTTCCGGTGCAAAAATTTTCCTGAGCATTCTTTCGACTCCTTGCTGAATGTCGCTCAAGTGTGTCACGCACATTTGCTCAACTATCTCTGTAGCTGGGAACACCATGAAGACAGAGGTCACAGCTCGGAACGAGACGGCCATGAGCGCTCTGAACGAGGACTCCGCACGACAGCGTTAGATGTGTAGTGTAGGATGTGCTCTCTGCCCGTCAATTGATGTTGATCCAGGCCAGACGAAAGCATGACTGCAGATTGGAAGCCGCTATCTCATGGCCAGAGACATCACATTGACACAGGGTATATCCGCTGCTTCACTCGGCTGACATCCGGGTCCAATGTGCACCCGCGGTAAGCTACCAGAGCCGAGGTGACGGGGCGGGGCTGCACTGACTGACCCGACAGCGCACATCCACACACATACACCCGAGAAAAAGAGAGAGAGAGAGAGAGAGAGAGAGAGAGAGAGAGAGGAGAGAGAGAGAGAGAGAGAGAGCGAGAGAGAGAGAGAGAGAGAGAGAGATGAGAGAGAGAGAGGAGAAGAGAGAGAGACGGAGAGAGAGAGGAGAGAGGCAGACGGAGAGGGAGGAGAGCGAGAGAGAGGGAGAGAGAGAGAGGGGGCAAGGAGAGAGAGAGAGGGAGAGATGCGTAGATTATAGACTAGTCTACCATAAAATTTTGCTAATGTAGCGTTATGACACGCGATACCTCTCACATGGTGTGCGTTTAAAGTTTTAGGTGAGGCGGCTGGGTAACAAAATAACACCACAGGACGTTATTCAGGTCGCTGTGGCCGAGCCCGAGCAGTGCTGAACGTTTTTGAAAGCCATTTGGGCTAGTTTAGCGATGGTTTCTCCCGCGCGTATCAGCAGCTGTAAAGATACAAATCCCAGGCTAGAATGATTTTTCAGGTCAGTTAACACCTTGAAATCAATTGAGTACATTAACGATTGCACATATTTTTAACATGGACATGACAAATTAAATGCATATTTTCAGACCTATCAGAAGATGATTATCTGTGCGCATATCACGTGACATCGGCATCGCTTTCCCACAACCGTAAAAAACGTTCACTTCATCTCGTTTACACGCGGCCTGTCACTTTCACTTCCCCTGAGAGAATAAATACCACTCGATAGAATACGGCGCAAGGCCCGCCGCTCAGGTCATGAGGCGCGTGTAGACGGCGTAGCACGCCGGCCGAGACAGCCCCAGCAGCACGCGCCGGCTGGGAGTGCCTCGTGCGGGCACGCCCCGCCCAGCGCGCTCCGCTCTGCCGGCTGACCAGCGGTGAGACCGCCGCGCTCCCGCCGATGAGTGCACGCGGGAATAGAGACGCGAAGCACTGCTGAGGTAGCGTCGCAGGCGAGCAAGCAGCTCGGCCCGCGGGCGTCAGCTGACAAGTGAAAACTGACACCTGGAACACCATCTAGCGCACTTCCTGAACCAGGGTGTAGCGGCACCCAGCTGTGGACATCACGTGCTACCCCTGTGACCGTGGAACAGCGTGGTGACCTTCAGTCCTCATTGCTGCACTGCCTCGACGGCGACACCCGAGTCAACAATATCTCGTGTTAGCTCAGCCGGTATCAAAGCCGTTTGAGTACCACGTGATTCGCCGCGGGCGGCAGGGGCGAGTCGAGGCCAACACCCGGGGAGGCCCCGCCTGCGCCGACCCTTGTCGCCACGTGGCTGGAGCCGCCGCTGGCACCATGACGTGCAGTCGCCGGGCGACGTCCGGACAAGGCCGTGGGTCGTCAGACTGCGCCCACGGCGTGGCGAGCTACGGAGGGGAGTTCGGGCGGCGGCGCCAGCGGTCCTCACGCGGTGAGTACGGCCGGGAGGCTCAAGGTCAGCCTCGGAGTGGGCCGGCCAAATGCGCTGTCACGCGGCGTCCGGCCTGGGCGCGGGGTCTAGTACACGTTGGGGCGGCGCTGTGAGCGCGCAGTGCGTGACGTCGGGGCCTGTGAGGGTGGCGGGGAGGAGGAGGAGGGCGGCAGCGCTGCAAGGCGTGCGGTGTTCGCTGTGTGGCAGCCAGTGATCGTGCCGCGCCGGGTGGGGACGAGACAGAACGCAGCCGGGCGGATCGAGCGTGACGTCATCGAGGTGAGCGGTCCGGATAGGCCGGCACTGCGGCGCCGAGCACCGCCCCAGCCGTGCAGAGAACCGCCCCAGCCATGCAGAGCACCACCCCGGTCGAGCAGAGCACCGCCCCAGCCAAGCATACCACCGCCCCCCAGCCGCGCAGACATCGCCCCAGCCATGCAGAACACCCGCCCCAGCCATGCATATCACCGCCCCAGCCGCGCAGAGCACCGCCCTAGCCGTGCAGAGCACCGCCCCAGTTGCGCACAGGCAGCGGGATGCGCGACATTGTCGAGGGGAGTGGGAACACTTGTCGCACCGATAAGGGACCTCGTACTTTGGACGGTAGTCGAGGCGAGACCGCAGAGCGAGGCCCGGGGGGAGACATGCTTGAACCACGGGGGCATCTGCGAATTGACCAGTTCCACCCGATCCGACCGATGGCGGCGATGCATTCTTTGATACATAATTGTCGTGCAGCCACTAATGGCAGTTCTAGGAGTTTTTCCTTGTCAAGCAGAACAAATGCTTGAAACATTTTCCCACAATATTTTCAGCATGCCGGTATGCAAAATGCTGGTCAAGTACAGATGATGCTCGATGCTGGTCCGGTTTTTCTGCAACATTTGCAATGAGCCCAAATTTGACGTGAAATAAAAAATAAGAAGCAGGTTTAAGTCTCATAGAGGCTTGATACTTGGTGTTCCATGCAATGAGCCGCATTCTCTCAGGGGACGTTGTTTCATCTGAATCCACCAATGCAACACAATTCTTTTAAAACAATGGCAGAAACCGCTTGGAAATGCGCGTGCAATGCGAACAACCTGTAAATTCGACAGCTATCGAGCGTGCTGGCTAGATCTGAAGGGAAACAGCCAACGATGATGCTACGACTGCTGGTTGTCATGGCTCAGAAGGTGGAATTTTCATCTTACTACTGCCCCGGGCATGGAAACGTAGGGTGACATTGATGAGAATGTGACGAGTGCCGAGGCTTTAGAAATATATAAAAACGTAATCATGACAAGAATCGCCAGAGTTTCTGACGTGCGTCTTGGAGACGTGCGCGTGCGATGTCGTGCAGCCCGCCACCGACCGAGCGTTAAATTATCGGAAATACCAGTCTGGCACGGTTACCCGCTCCTTGAAGACGAAAAGGACGTGGCGGTAGCTGTGAGATCAGTACAAGGTGCGATTGCGGCTTCAGGGACTTGACGTAACGTGGAGTTGTCATGGAGTTGTTCTCCAAGCGAACTAGTATTGTCTCCAAAGCGAATATACAGGTGTAATATTCACATATGCCTGCTGTATATCCCACGCTGGTCATCTTGGATGTTACAAGTCACCACACCCCGAACGCTGATGAGATGCTGGTTAATAGCATAGCACAGCCCCACACCACGTGGACTCATGACCGTCAATGGCTCGAGCCACACTAGCTGACGTCAATTCCCCCAAACAGAATGTTGGTTGTCCGCTTAGTAACCCAGAGCGGACACTCTATGTCAAGGCAGGGCATCATAATAAACATTACAGGTATTAGTACCAAAACTTTCTTGTTAATACGTAGGTGATGCCTGCTAACATCAGGGTTGTAGGTTCGTAATCAGTTGTGGGGGGGGGGGGGAGGGGGGTTCAGCCATCTCTCTTTGAGGAGAATAGACCAAATTCGAGGAGAAAACTCGTTTTGCGAGCCAAATTTAACAACCCCTTGTTGGCGTATTTCTGGGATCCGATTTGCCATTTTTCTTCTTACCCCTCCTCGTCCCCCTCCAACCCTCTGTTTGCGAAACTTTACCCGTACTATACGCCGTGGCTTTGTCCATAGATTTCGCTGCGCACAGCAGCGTGGTCTCCTACCAACAAACAATTTCATAATGGAACTCTGCAGTCTCTGATTTCACAAGGCACTACATTCTTAAGCGCTTGAGTCGGACAACTGCGGATGACTTGGCCTTGACATCCTCCATTCTCAGGTTTCTGATGGCGCTGCATTCTCAGTAGACTGTCTTGAAAGCAAATGTGCGTTCAGCATTGACGCAGGCGAACAAGAAGAACAATATTACTGATATCACTATGCGATGCAGTTTTACATGTTACCGGGGCTACTTATTGAGACTCGATGTGCGCTCAGTGTTACACAGCCAGACATGTGTTACATCCGACTCCGATTCACATTCTTCGTCTTCCCAGTCACGGTTTATGCCGGAATGCGTGTTAAAAACATGGGTTTAGCTAATTCTTCGTTTTTCCAGTCACGGTTCATGCAGGAATACTGTTCAAATCATGGCTTTAAGTAATTCTTCGTTTTCCCGTTCACGGTTTATGCCGCAGTACCTGTTAAAAACATGACTTCAACTAATTTGCATTGCTGGAATGGGAGAGAATTGCCTTAAATTATGCCAAAGTGCGCAGTTGCACTTAGACGTTTCAACCACAGGATCAATACTGAAGATCTATGAAAAGGAGCTGTTGCAAAGTGAATGCCTCGTGTGGAAGGATAGCGTTGGTTTACACATGTAAAACGCGATAATTCGTTTTCCCTTCGGGACAAATTCATGCGAACTTGCGAACTTTTCAACGTTCAACATTTTACCTGGTGGTTGCCAAGCCTAGATCTTATGCTTAGCTCGGGTGCGTACTATCTCACGTGTTATCAACAGTCACGTACAAATGCTGCGGTTGTCAATATTTAAGGAAGCGAACAACAGAAAACTCACCCATGAGAATGACTCGGGCATCCCTTTTTCCGCTGTTGTTACGCCACATTTCATCCATATAATGCTGGCTGCTCCTGTGTCTTTCGGAAGAAGCCCGTCAATGCCATTTTCTTCTTTGGCAATATTTATAAGCGACACTATCACTGCGCATCAAACCTGTGCTCCAAAAAGTGATGGATGTCACATGTGCTGCTGCGAACACTTCTGCAGCCCTAAAAATTGTGCGACATTTATTGTGCTGCGAACATTTATTCGTGACATTAGCGCTGCACGAGAGAGCGGATGCTTCAAAACATCAAATCGGTGGTTACGGGTACTGCGAGGGCTTGCACAGTCGTCACATGTTCAGGACCTTACTGCTAGTGTTAATGTACATTCATAATAGGAGTACCAAGTGAAAAACTCATGCTTCAGAGACTTCCATCATTACTTCCACTGATAAACGTCCACTCTCTTCACTTACAATCGACAACAGCAATTTTACTGTCGGCACTTAAGTTTATGGTGTGGCATATGTTTTACATCAGGACACCCATGCCTCATGTTTAATATGAGAAAACTCGTACTTCAGAAACTGATGTCCGTTATTAATTCAGCTGCAAAATCTTTTACACGTTTTGCTGATACGCGCCATTACCTCTGCTACTACCACTTAACACGCGCCCGGTTGGCCGGCTGGACACTCTTCTTTCGGGTGGGAGGGGGGGGGGGGGTCAATTTGACCCCGCTGAGATCTCAGGAACTAAGCGAGCTAGACGTACCAAATCAAAGAGTGTGTTAAACTCGATTGGAGCTCACTTTAAAGCTATGGGTTCCTGGGTCATGAAATTCGGGTCAAATAAGGTCGAATGAGGTTAAAATCCAGGTTGATCTCCAAAGTGCCACAGAATCTAGGAATTTTTTCCAAGCAAAAGGCCACATGCTTATTTAAAATCAGTGACCTTGTATGGCATTTTGAAGGTCATGGTATCAAAATCATGTAAAACTGATTTGAGTTTTGCATCTGAACAAGCGAAAAAGATAACGCTAGCCACTATGTTCCCAAGAACAAAGTGTTGATCTGGATCATTTTGGGTCAGTGTCCTATCCTGGCCTTTAAAAAGTCCATCCCGTTTGGTTCCCGTTATCAATAAATTCGAAATGAGCAGTAAAAATTACGTTGAACAGCAAGACCGTAGAGTAAAAAAGGTTGCTTTTGACCTTGGTCTGACCGTCAAACGTGACCTTGCGGCAATGTTATTTTTCTCATTCAATTGTTGTGTTGCCTAAGAAAGTATCTCAAGAGGTTTATGGTTGCGTCTAGCTAGCTAAAGGATGACGACTTACGGGGCGCCAAAATAGACGCCGTAATAAATAGCACGGTCACTGCTTTGACACGTGTATGAAGTTGATGTCAGCTAGAAAGGCCTTGCACTCATGGTTTTTCCGCATTTTTGTTTATGTTATCAGCTGGAAGATACGCCACCGAAATGTTCTTAAAATCAGTGGAATCATACTGCATCGTAACTCGTCACATCCTCTGACTACTAAGAAAGGCAGACCTCACCCCACAAATGCGGAGATCGGTGCGCACATCCTCTGGTCCCCAGTCGTGTGAGCGTAGTCGAACTAAAATACCCCTTCTTTTCCGCGGGAGCGGATGCTCGGAGCACCGAACAAGGGCCGCCGCTCGTGCAGCACATTTCCGGTGCAAAAACTGGGGTGTGTGCTCATAGTCGCCTCGGTTTTCCTTCTTCTCTTCATCATGCATCTGTGGCTCCGTGGTTGACAGGCGTCAGCTTTCTAACTGGTAACCATTCAATCCAACAGCCGGCGTGGTGTCCGTTGTGTACGGTACGAAGACATGTCGGTGTCGGCTTTCAAAAACAGTTTGAGGCTTCCCTTAATCAGAAATACTTAGTTGCGAGCACCGTACGTTCGTGTGCTGTGTCATGTTAACATTTTTGCCTGCTTCCAAGAGGATTTGTTTAGTTTGGCACCTTTGACCGTCGACCGGCTATGTTTATGCTCTGTATGCATTTTGCCTTATCGTATGTACACGCTGGTCAAATGATGAACTCAAGATGAAGAATACCGCCAGCAAAGTCGTTCACGACGTTTGAATGCTACCTCTACGCTTACGAGGATCTCCTAAACTACTGCCATCTGGAGCAGTGTTCTGCCACCTGGCCGCTCGTGTGACGGCTCCTTTGAACCCCCAGGTGCACCCGAAACCGCCACGATGAGCAGCTACCTGGCGTTCCTGCGCGAGGACTGGCAGGAGTTCAAGCGCGAGGAGCAGGTGGCCCTGTGGACCACCTACGTGGTGGTGCTGGTGCTGATCTGGCTGTGGGCGCCGACAGCGCTCTACCTCTGCATAGGCGGGCTGTGCTACCTGGCGTTCCGGCGCTGGATGATCGGCGCCCGCTGCCGCAGCAACGCCACGCTCGAGGGCAAGACGGCCGTGGTGACAGGCGGTAACTGCGGCATCGGCCGAGAGGCGGCGCTGGAGCTGAGCCGGCGCGGCGCGCGCGTCATCATCGCGTCGCGCGACGTCGGCAAGAGCCGGCTGGCGGCGGCCGGCATCCGGTCGGAGACGGGCGGCGAGGTGATCGTTAAGCAGCTCGACCTCGGCTCCCTCCAGTCGGTGCGCGCGTTCGCGGACGACGTGAACAAGACGGAGGAGAAGGTGCACCTGCTGGTGAACAACGCCGGCTGCCTGCTGCCCACCCGGCGCACCACCGGCGACGGTCACGAGACCACGTTCCAGGTCAACTACCTCGCGCCGTTCCTGCTCACGCACCTGCTCACCGACAAGCTTGTGCGCAGCGCGCCGGCGCGTGTCATCAACGTGTCATCGACGGGCCACTGGTTCACCGACCTCGACCTGAACGACCTGGAATGCGAGCGGAAACCGTACGCCCTCTGGACCCGGTACGGCACGTCCAAGCTGGCGCAGATCCTGCACGCGCGCGAGCTGGCGCGGCGCCTGCGCCAGCGCAGCGTCACCGCCTTCTCCTTGCACCCCGGCGTGGTCAACACGGATATTTACCGCGAGCAGCGTGGCAAGTGGTACCACTCGGAGTTCCTCAAGGGCGTCCTGTTTAGCTACTTCTTCCGCAACGCGCGGATGGGTGCACAGACGGTCGTCTACTGCGCAGTGGAGCCAACGCTGACGGCCGAGTCCGGCGGGTACTACTCGGACTGCCGCCGGGGTTGGGCCAGCGCGCAGGCGCAGGACGACCAGCTGGCGGCCAAACTCTGGGCGGCCTCCGAGAAGATGCTGGGCCTCGAGTGACCCTCCCGCCCGGCTCTGGGTCGTGCGACACGGCGCTGCCGGCCCCTGGGCATGCCCAGTGGGGATGAGGGGGGGGGGG